AAGATATCTAAAATTTATTTAAACATTTTTGGAAGCTCTGGGTCGTGTGTCGCTAACATTACCTTACATTGCATTGCATTGCATTACATTGATCACTACATTACATTCGTCAATTACTTACACTACAATACACTTCACCACACATTCCACCACATTACTTGTGACCTACATTACACTACATTAATTACATTATACATTACACATTACATACTGGGTGGGCAGGAAGGAACGAACCAAAGGCTAGGGACTTGAATGGAATGAATGAAGGCTCTCGGAACGCCGAGCAGCTGTTTCAGGTGAGATCGGTGCGTGGCTAAGCAGCTGGATGCGAGCCTTGCAACGATCAGGTCATGTGGTGCCTATGTGCATGCTGCAAAGCAAAGGGGCAGCCATGACATCAGCATGCTGCATGATGCATGTGTCTGCCCATGCAGGACATGTCCATGACCCCTGGTAGGGAGCTTATGGAGCCCTGCTGGTAGCGGCTGTGTTTCTTGAATCATGCATGACATGCCTGAGCTCTGTCCATGCACGCGCCAACGAGCTATGTAGCCCTGGGCGGCTGTGTTTTTGGGCTCACGTACATGCAATACTCATCCCCATGCATGCTGACGATCATGGCCGCCACCCAGTGTTTTTTGAATCATGTATATAACGTGCCCACGCCCATGCATGAAAAAAGGTGTCATGATTGGTTTCCCCCGATTCATATGATTGCTTGATAAAGCAACCCTCAACACATAGATCTGCAGCTGCGCACATCTATGCCCTGTATTGCCCTTTCTTTGTTTGAGTTGCCGATCTATCTCCGCTTGCCGACTTACTATGTACAAGGGCAACAACTACACAGTAAAACCCCACGAGCCCAAAGTGCTACCAACAAGGGTTGGTTTTCCGATCAAGGCGAGCTTTCAAGACACCTGTGGAGAACGAGAGTGGCCTCACAAGTATCATCGTGTAGTAGTTGAGGTCCCCTTCTGACGAGGACAACATTTATTGCGATTTGCAATGAGTCGTGACACCGAAATCGCATGGCACTGGCCCCCACCAAACCAGCCCCCAGCTTTCAAGTAACGCCTATCCGTAACCCGATAAATGCAGACACATTCTGAGTTCGGGGCCAGCCTCTCGCCGTCCCAAGACGGCGCCCCAAAGCCGTCTTGAGAATTCATTCGGCATACGACAAAGCAACCATCTCCCGGACCACAGACTGTATGCTTTTCGTTGCATGACATGTGCAGGCGACCCGCGATCCGTTTTCGATGTTTTTGATCACAACACTGCTTACGCGGTCCCTTCCCAACCCTAATTCTGAATTGAATCTGGACGCTGAAGTGGACAAAGAAGGGTAGCACGCCAGCTGATTCGCAGGCATCTCAAGTTCAACAAACAACTCAAATACATTCAGGCAAACCCAAACCCACTGTTGCACGAAGCACACGCGCCTTGGTCTCGTAGTTTTGCTTTGGCCATTTGAAGACCTGCAGCTGCTCGCCATGGTGCCTTAGCAGAGTTTGGTCAGTCAGCAGACAGTGGTGCTGTTAAGCATGTGGATGTTGCGCTCGTAAATTGCTGAGACGCTGACTGGAATTGCGGGTGGCCTTTTGGGCGGCGCTGCTGCCTTTACTACGGCCAATTGGGATGTGATGGGCATGACCTCAGGCGCACATCTCCACTGATCGAAACGTGTTGCTGGTAGCGGGCAACATGCTGCTGGGTTTAAAAGCCAGCCCGCAAGGACTTGCTACTTCGGGACGCGGAGCGCAAGTGGACCAGTCGTTCCAAAGGCGGCATGAGTTGTGTCGAGGTTGTCAATCGTTCAGTCTTGCAGGGGTGTCCTCACAGGAAGCATGACCGAATCGATTACAAGGCCAGGTCCTTCCAAGAAAGATCACAGCCACACCAACAACGTGTTTGATTGTTTCTATGGAAAGGTCCAACGGCAGAGCCTTCACCGCGATGACTTGAACGATCTGATGGGACTTACCATAGGAGCAGATGCAAACCTTGCTTGTGAGATTCTTTCCTTATCGTGAATGCAGCCTCTTTCAAGTTCAGAGCCTGCGTCATGGATACTGGAGGACGGATGGACATGCTGGGTCCCTAGTTTGCGATTGCGACTGGTTATCACAGGTGACATTCAGCATTTTTTCAGGTACAATCTCGTCGGCGCATTGCTCCTGACCTTCGCACTGCAGTGGATAACTAGCAGAAGCTTGGAGTGCGTTACATTATAAGCAGCTATGCGACATCCTAAGTTCGATTTGCATTGATAGCTTCTTGCGGCTCGGACTTGAGGTGATATTGTTGCTGCGCCTGACGTGAAGTACTGGCCTCCTTGGTATTCCACGGTATTCGTTATCTCCTGCTTCAGCTCGGCACCTCGGCTGTTCGGAATCTGGGGCCCATGATTGTACCAAGCTGCTGCAGTGTTTTCGGAATGCCAGTTGATCCTTCAAGGTCGGCTACCTCTTGTTTTCCCTGTGGTTCGCGATGATGTGTTCCGTCACCTGCCAGGACACTTGAAAAGCGAACCTATGCTGTCCAAAAGCCAACTTGCTTAGAGCGAGCATCTTTGTAGTTTCTTGTTGCAGTCGCTGGGCACCAGATTGCGAATCAACTTTGCGAGGCGTGGTGTGCAGTTCTCGTTGTGGATGTGACATGCAAAACTGAGGTTAATCGAGAAGTCTGGTGTGTTGTAACTTGTTGGGTCAAACGGCCAAATTGGAAAGCGTGCTTGTGCTTGGAATGTGTGTGCAGGGTGCAAGATATCCTTTCACTGCGTCGGCGTGCCAACGGTGGGAGAACATGCTTGCTTACATGTTCCGCATTTTGAGCCTGCTTGCTACAGACATGATGCATGAAGCAGGGTTCACCCTTTAAGTTGAAGTAGAATATTTCACAAAAAATTTAGCCAATGCTAAAGCACCCAACTATTCTGGCTTCCATTTACTTACACGTTGCATTACAGCTCATGGCCTTTGCTCAGCTGCTTGCTAATGCTGTCCTTTTGGGATGTTTCATTTTGGTTTTGCCTAAGGGCTCCATTTGCCTATCTGGACCTGGACAATGTGCTGGTTCAGTCAAGCTGGTGCCGCAGCAACGCCTATTCACGAGCGAGCCGCGCCCTGAACTTTTTGGAAATCCCGAAAATCCAAGTCCTGGAAGGCAAGAATCCCATGACTGGTCGCAGAAGAACTGGCTGAAGTCGCGCTTCCATTTCAGCTTTGCTGAGTATGGTCATGGGCCGAACAATTTCGGTGTGCTCAGAGTCATGAACGATGATTTGGTACAGCCATTGCGTGGGTTTGGGCCGCATCCACATCGAGACGTTGAGATTGTTACTTTTATCGTTGAAGGATTTCTCACTCACAAAGATTCAACAGGCGCCGAAGAGACGCTTGGACGCGGAAGCATTCAGTTCATGACAGCTGGGACAGGGGTGGTCCATTCGGAGCACAACCTAGACGAACAGCCGTTGCGCTTCATTCAGTGCTGGATTCTGCCACGAGTGCGTGGGGCTCCCCCGAAGTACGGCTCCATGCCGGGAGATGCAACTTCAGGCCAGAGGCAAAACCGATGGTTTCATGCAGTCGGCGATGATTTGAAGGGCGGTGAATTTCCCGTCAGCATCAACCAGGACATTTGTTGTTTCCTCGGGGTGGCGGTATGCGTGTTAAGTTTCAGAGCCTGTGAGCAGATTTCCATGCCCTGGTGTCGGTTGTATATTAGCAAATGCGGTTGTATGACATACAAGTACGACCGGAACGGGACGACTTGGAGCGACTCACCATTCTGCAACCGCTCGCTTCTTTCAGGGTTGGTCAGAGTCAGTACAACTCCGAAACCTCGCTTGGACTGGGGCGAGTGTTAAAACCATTTCCTTCCGACGTTTTGGGATGCCGCAGCATTCGCTTTTAATTGTTGTGGCCTTGCCCACCCATTCTACCCGAAAAGGGTTCGGGTTTTATGAACAAGCCTGGGCAGTTGACAGCATCACATCTTTTGGAATTGTTGGGCTTCGCCCCTCTGTTCTAAAAAATAGACGGTCACTCCATCCAGAGTTCTGTGGGGGCGGAGACCGGAAGCATCATTCGCTGTGCAGCGACCGCTTTTGTTTTTCTGAATGGGGGGCTATGCAACCACTGACTTTTTTAAGTGGCTCATTGGTTTTTTGGGTTGGAGTATGGGCTCTGTTGGGCACTCTGCAGCTAAACACTGTTGAATCAGTCCTTCCGTTTGGAGTTTTGCTGCCACCCATTCCATTCGGTTTAGAGTTCTTCCGTCGGCAATGCCTCGCATCGGATGGGGAAACAATCGCTCAGCCTGTTTCCGATTCTCCGACTCCGACTTTTGCTTTTCCCCACATTGACATGCTTTCGTGTTTCCGCATCATACCCTTTCTGTGGACTTTTCCCCCTTTCACGTAGAGCGCCGAGTGAGCAACCCAGTGATTGCACTTTGCCAGGACTGCAACATGTACATTTCTGAGCTTACCCCAGGCACAGCCGCTGCCCCCTTACCAATCAATGCTGGCCGTCAAGGTTATTTTCTTTGCGTTGAGGGAGAGGTTCACTTGAACGCTGGTGGTGACAATTATGTCATGCAGCGACATGACGCAGCCGAGTTGAAAGGCCCGTTGCTGCTGCAGGCCACGGGTGGCACGGATGGAGCGCTTGTGTTGCTCTTTGAGATGGAGCTTACACAGGATAGCCGAGGTGAGCTTTAAGACTTTAATTAGGACGCTGCTGCATCAATGTACAGCCGACAGAGCCTCGCAGAGCTGCCTAGCGGCCTTGCCCTGGAGACATGATGGGCAGAGCCGATCATCGAGTGATGTGCAGCTGCTTGTATAGTTTGTTGTGTGAAACGGGTGCGCTTGCACATTAAAATCCGAGTCGCTGCTCCGAGCTGACGTTTGCGGCTGCCGGCAGAACTGCATCAGGCTGTCTCTGCCCAAGAATGAGGATATCTCACGCATAAAGGCGCAATCCACTTGGGCAGTCGGACCGGTGTGGCAGTTGGATGAACCACATCCTGGCTTGTTCCTGCATGTATTCATCAAGGTGCCCTTTTTCATCCCGGGGGGTGCCTGGCACCCAGCAACACTCTAGCACCTTGTCTGCAAGCTCTTCAGCTCAAGGAGCAGCTCGTGCGGGCAAGGCTTTGGAAAAGATGCAGAACAAGATTTTCCATGCCGAGGGAGAGGCCTTCCGAGCGTAGCTGTTGAAGCCATAGTCTGGTAGAGATGATGGAACACACGCGTTTTTCACGTCACTGTTCCGCAGGCGGAACACGGCGGAACCGGTGACTTCACTGGTCAGGCCTTGGCCAAAGCAACCCCCAGGTTGTGTCACAGTCCAGTGTGTGGAAGGAGCTTCTTAGAGAGCTCAAGAAGGAAGAGCGGGAGGCCGACACAGCTGTTACATAAGGTGTTTTGGATGAAACCATTGCATGCATGATTCATCTTTGTATCGCGGCCAGCAGCGAAGTTGCTGATTTCATCTGGTCACGGGGCAAAGCATGTTCGGAAGGTTTCTGCAGGGAGTTGTTTTTAGATGCGGTCTACGACGTAGCGTGTCATGACGCAAGTGGTTGGCAGAGTATTAGTTTTCACAAGGTGTTAGTGTTGCATGGCCATTCGGGCTATCCTTCAAGCACGGAAGGAATTCCTCCCAACCAGCATTCAGTTATGTTTTGAGGTGAAGCGAAATGGTCTCGCAATTCTGGTTTAGACCAAAGGTGCTCGACTCAAACATTGAAGCAATACTGTCAGGCAGAAGCTGCTTCAACGCCGACTTCAAAGCCAGAGAAGGTAGTGCGAGGTCTCACGTTCAACGAGTGGGGATCCGACAACGGCGAGAAGGACGATATGCTGTCAAGGTTTTTAGTCCTGCGATAGTGCTGACAAAACATGGCTGTAATGGTGGCAGGATGACGACGACCAGGACTTCGAGAAACACTTGCGGCGGTGGCTCTACGAGCGTGGGCAGTCTGCTGGCGTAACATCCCGGCTTTACATTCCCATGTGCGCTGGTCCCGAACAAGGGCTTCCTCACGGATCCCAGGTGGCTCAGCGCAGATGCGTATGCGCGGGCCTGCATGGTGGCAGCTTGGTTCTGGTTGTGCATCGGATCGAGCAGAAATTCAAGTTAACTTCGGTGGGGCGCTTTGCACAATCTGGGTGTATTTTTTTTTGAACTTTTTATTTTTGCCTGCGTGGGGTGGGTGGATGGGGTGCAGCGGGCTGCGGGGAGCTAAATAATAACGATAAGTAATATAACTTGACTGTTAATCGTCTCTGAATATATTATCCATATAAGTTCTTCATAATTTTGATATAATATTCATACAATCACATAGCAAGACTACTCTTTCATAACGTAAGATTGAGTTGTAACCTATGTTGCAGTACTAACCAAACTGGAAATCACTATTGATGAAAAAGTTTGTGTCATCTCAATATACATGTCATATTGAATTAATGTTAATGAAAAGAACGCCTCGAACTACGGGCATGCGTTTTCGAACATTTATGTATTCTGATATATCTGTTTGTCATATATCCTGGACGACAATGAACGCGAAAACAGCTTGGGTTTAGAATTCACGGAACAGTCTACCATCAATTCAATTTAACTGAGGTGTCCAGCCCCGCGCGGAACTAAACCCGGAGGCCCATGGCATTCGGGACCTAGAGGCTGGAGGTCTCCGGACCTGAAACCTCGTGTATTCTTCGAGGTCGGGGGTGAGCGGGGGGGGTCTGGACGCGACCGATTTTTTTTGCCTCTCCCGCCCGGGCATCCAGACTTGAGCCTGCAAGGCCCCACCCTAAACGTGGTTTGAAAGACTGTCATCGCTTCAAGGTGCTCGATATACCAATGGCCAGGAGCCAAACAACTTTCCAATTCTCACACGAAATGGTAGTGAAAGACCAAATCGTTCAGGAACTATGATCCAAACGTTGGAGGAAATTATGGTGGGCATCCCCCAAATATTATAAGGATTAAATTTGTTCCTCCACAACCAAAGCTTTAACATGTTATGTCCAAGATCAATAGGTATGTAGTCAACCTTCATCCAAGTGGCTAGCGCTGATCCGTTCCAAGTATGCCAAGCGTCGGAGAAACCGAGACCGTGAAGTAGACCAGCAGCTAGAATGAAGTAGGCGGTTCGGAAGTCAGGTTGCCAAAAAACCGTGGCCGTCAGTACGAAGATCAAAACCTAATAAAACAGGTTGCATCTTGATTTTGAAGCATCTGATGGGGATGGCAAGCCCTCCAAACAGTGTATGCGGTAGAGTGCCGACAGCCCCAAATTGGCCGGTTCGGGTGCCACGACCTAAGCCCCAGAGAAGATGATGGGCTCCAATCCAATCCCGAAGTCCCATGATGCTTAACCGAGTCCAAAGCATCCCAACTTCTCATGAAAGATGATGAATGGCATATCTAGTGCCCAACGATTTAACAGCTGACAAACCCTAGAAGCCCTGTTCCGAAGTCTGACAAGGCGTTGAAGCCCCGAGCGAGCTGAGTGCCAGCTAACAGCAAGGGACGTGTGGCAGATTAGGCGGTTGAAAAGATATGATGGGTAGCAAGCCTCTATAAGAGGTCAGAAACTTGAAAATTGTGATTACTCATAGATCCAGACCTGCAAGAAATATCAGACAATGTTCTGTGTGGCAAGCCACCATAGCCCTAATACGAGAGGAACAGCTTGCAACGTGAGAACCCACAGTTGGCAAACCGACACTGTGCTCACAAGAAGCTTAAACCGTGATCGGATATATTGGATTTCAATATATGTGACGGGTGTGCAGGTTGGGTGCAAAACCCGCAACCTCCTTAAATTTAAAGATTATCGGCACCAAAATTCGCAGCCTCCCAGATGCTGGTTGGTAGTTGGCATATCCGGTAATCCGGTACCCTGAGCCTTGGCAATAGCTAGTGGGAGGTTGAACTAGGTCAGAAGCATTTGCACTTCAAAACGAGATGGTGGGTGGAAGACCCAACATCCGAAACCTAACAAGAAACTTGTGGGTGGCCAACACTGTCAACTGCATACGGGGTGATTGGGTGCCAGCTAATACAGAATAATGCGCCGCCGTAAATTACAAACATGAAAAGATCAGACAGTGTAATGAGAAGTCCGGGACTTTGGAAACAGTGATATTCACAGACCCAGATCCGAAAATGATCTGACTGCGGCAATCACGAACAAGCTGACAGGAGGATTTGGCCTCCGAGACCGAAAACTCTAACAACTCTACTGCATGACTGGGTCTACCACGTACCATTTACTGAAAGAGCTTAGGCATCAAAAATGTCATTGGGCCATTTCACTACTATGTGATGGCATTCCTGGTTTTGGAAAAAATCAGAGGAATCGATGTATCTGGTCGACCATCAATCTTTTTATGTGCAGGAGCATCTGGACTTTTTCTGGAAAGCCTGTTGTCCCTTACCAGACCCGTGTTTACTTACAAGTGGCGATACTACCTTATCCCATCCTTGAAAAATGCTTAAAAACGTTCGTCTCCATAACAAAGAAAATTAAAATTTCAATATGATACATGTCATCAAATCTAACCAATCTCATGTCAATACGGTATGTTGCTTCCACCTGTATATTGCTTCGAAGCCCACTTGCACCTAAAGACTTCGGCCTTTCCCGGCTCAACGCAGCCCCCACACCCCCCTGCACCCCACCCGCAACCCCCGCAGGCCAACAAAAGAAAACACAAAAGCAAAAGGTCGACAACAATTTTCACCGCTTTGCATTGCTCCGTTCCTAGCCCAGGTTGGCATGAACCAGATGCTGCAGGCTCTGACCTACCATGTGGCCAGTGTCTGAATAATATTGATCAGAGAGAGCTCTCCCCACCTGCGACACATGTGGGCTAAGGTGGCCACCGTGTGGAAGGTTTCGGCGCTGACGTCAATTGCATGTCTATTGTTGGCCAAATCACTGTCTGTCAGGATCTCGGTGAGACGTTCCGGTCCTTTGCATTGGAAGTTTGCCATTGCTCGTGTAATGAGCATGAGCGTTTTTGCATGCCCGAGCAAACTTTGGGTTACAAAACTGCTCTGCATGAACGATTCGGGTTCAGCCCACAGCAGAAGCTCACCAAACCGAAAGGTTTTCTGAACGATAGGCTAAGAGGCAATTGGCCAAAGCACAGTTCGTTGCAAGAAGTCCAGCGCCACCAAGCAGCAGCCCAGTTGTTCATGCTTCAAGTCGACCTTGGAATCCGGAAATATCGATGCTTCGGTGACTCGGCTCGAGCAATGATGTCCTGGGCTCGGATTTCAGCAACTGTTGAGTTGTTTGGGGGTTTCTTTTTGATTGTCGCCTGGTTGATGGCTTCGATCGGCGTGCGCTTCGATTTCATATAGATGTGCACCCACAGAGACAAGAGCATTCCGTCCGGCGTCCTGAGCGCATCTTTTTCGGACCCTGGCCTCGATGTTGAAGGTCAGGCGTCACAACAGGCCTTGGGCGAAGAGCCGGCGTTCGCGGAGATATGTCAGCGCAGATGGCAAGTAGCGAGTTGCAGGTAGTTCTAACCTCTGAGACAGAAGAAGTCAGAAGAAAGGAGGAGCGAATGGTGAAAGAAACATGATTAACCCCACGGACGAAGAGAGTTGGTGTCACGAGGCTGGGGCCAGCCGTCCCCTTCTGCCGCAGAAGTGTCACGGACATCCTGTGCACGACCCCACGGAGGGACCGGGTGAGGGACCTGCGTCGCAACAAACAGAAGGAAGAAGGGTTCCCCAGGTCAGGAAGTGAACGATTGCCAGTGAACATGTTTGAAGACCAGGAGACAGCACCACCTGTGCCTCTCCCACGGACTTTGTTTCTAGCATGGTCGTAGATACGAGCGAGAAATTCAGTTGTGGACTTTACTCCCCGACACACATCGGCTGTTATTCCGCGAGTGAACACTTTTCTCTCTCAGGTTTCACGATGGTGATGCTGTGGCTTGGTCAGAAGCATTTCTCTGGGTGTGTGTGTGTTGTGCTGTAGTCGCAGGTTTTGATGCTTTCGTGCGTGCTAGGCTGGAACTTCTTCCGCCGACTTATGCTACGACGCTTGGCACAACTAGCGTGCAGTCGCCCTCGCAAGCCTGTTGGGTCGTGAGGGAAAACAAAAGCTGAGTGTGCAACTTACGATGCTGGAGCTATGAGGCTGTATCTGTTCGTTTACGTGCCTGGCATTGAGTGGCCCGGTTGGCTGCAAGGATCCCTACGCAGAAACCCAGTGGTGTGAGCACAATCGTCGAAAACCTGGGTGCTGTTGCAGGAGTGGCTTGTTTTCCTGTGTTTCTTCTGCATGCTGTTTGGATGGGCTACTTGTCCAGGCCTTAGCTGATGTAGCAGGCGCTGCCGTTCAGCAGGAAGAGCTGCTCTGCACGCTGGCAGCTGCGCTGAGGAGTTACCAGCTAACACCTGCAAGTGACACGGGCAACCCGGCCGGTGTTTTGCGAGTTAGCCTTGAAGTTGACGACATCAGCTCATGGAAGCGATTTTGGGCGCTGCCACCTCGCGAAGCTGCGACGCTGGTTTTGCGTATGGCCCAGGTGATCGCCCAGCCTTTGACACCGAAACTCATTTGTCTGATTCCGACAGCTCATCGAGTGGATCAGAGCAGGTAGATGAAGACCTTGCGAGGCACTCCTAAACAAAAGATCTTGACAGCCGTTGCGGTTCGTGGGTGCTTGCAGAAAGTTGTGTGCACCGGAAGGCGGCGATTTCAATCTGGAAGAGGTTTCTATGGGACAGATTTCCTGCCCCATCGGCCGCTTGCAATGTTTTGGATATTGACGGGGCATTCAGTGATCTGACAACCTTGTACGAGCGCATGGGGCATGAAGTGGTATTGCAAACAAGCAGGTGCGTGCATTCGTGCGTGCGAGCGTGCGAGCGTGCGAGCGTGCGAGCGTGCGAGCGTGCGAGCGTGCGAGCGTGTGTGTGTGTGTGTGTGCGCGTGGGTAGCTGGCTTGGTGGGTGCGTTATTGGGTTGGAGGATGAATGCATTGAGCCAGGTTGAAGCGGAACAAGCTTTTCAACATCATCGAGATCCATGGCAACAAAACTGAGTTTGCCCAATCCGGTTTGCATGTTCTGCCGAATTCTTTCCGTTGCTGTCATATGTCTTGTGTTTTTATCCCACTGGCACCTTGCACTCCCACCGATCCTCAGGCTGCAGGACCCGATTCCAGAACACGAGCTTCGAGAAGCGAAGGTGGACCCGATGCCAGGACACCGATGGAAAATGGTCGCATTCTTCGCTTTCCTGTGGCCGTCGGGACAGTTTGAACGGTAGCCTTCAAAACCCGCTCGATCGGCCTGGAAGCTGAGCGTGACGAACTCCCATGCATGCCTTGTGTGTAATTTCACAGGAAAAGTCACTGTGAACTTCACTTTTTTCCTGGCTGTCCTTTACATCCTGGTACCGGCCTTATTTTGGAAGTTCCTGCAATGTCAACGGAAGAGAATGTTGTGTAGGACAGGATAAACTTCTCCCCGCAGAATGGGTAGATGGTTACATTGTGTGCTTCTTCCTGCTTTCTGCTGCATTCCATGTTCTCCGCTGTCGCCGAGAGTGGGATCATGCACACGGCCGGCCAGATCTTTGGTGGTTCGGATGCATTTTCGCTTCCCTGCTTCCTTGTGGTATGATGAATTGCGTGGCATGGGTTGTGATCTTTCACAGAAAGAGGCCACCTGAGGTTTCGATCAAGCGGCGATTATCGATTGCTCAGACGATAACTGCACGACCAGCTGCCTGCCTAATTCCTGGAGCCGAGTGCAGGGTCAACGCAGGAAGAGCCGGTCTGTCGAGATCTACAATCTCAATCGCTCAGCCGAAGAGCGCTGACGTCTGAGGCAGGAGCAATCCGATTTGGCCCCATGCTCGGCCGCGACCACAAGGGCCCAGGCATGCACACGCCCCCACCGTGGTTGAAATAAGTGCAGAGGAACAGAAGTCGTTCATTTCCCGCTTCTGAGAAACAACTCCGGCCTGCTGGCTGATATTCATATGTTGCAGTTGTAAGCTCCGGTTGAGGCACCATCCGCTGCGACGGCTTCGTGGACAGTCCCCCGTCGGAGTGCAGAGTATGAGAACATCGGAATTCTTGCAGTTTGGCCTTAGGTATGCAATCGATGCCGAGATGAGAGAGATACAAAGCAATTGGCCATCGCCAGCGAGTTTTTTTGAGGCCGTGCTTGCATGATTCAACGATGACCAAGCGATGTCCAATCGCAGCATTCAAAAACACATGTCCTTCGAAGGTCAAGGCTCTGCACTGCAGTCCGCAACTTGCCAGTTGTGTAATACAGTGAGCAAGCAGTGCTTTGTTCTATGGTGCTTGTTGCCGTCTGAGCCCGTTGGGCGCAGCATCCTCGAGGAACAACTCGCACCTTTTCATGCACAACGGCTTCGCTGCCTTTGAAGCCGAAGTCTTGAACAAGAGACTAGGTGAGCTGAAGAGGTGGGCCAAACATGCTACAGATCTAAGCAAGTAAACCCTGTTGCTTACAGCAGCAGCTAAGAGGCACAGTGACTCAGCAATGCCTTCCAGGCTTGAGATGCCACAAGTCGAATCAGTGATGATTCTCGGCTTGTTCTTGGGTCACACACAGGCAGTAGTATGTGCGCGACGCCAGATGTACAGGTTTTGCAAAATTGGCGCATGCTTTGCGCTGTTACCTGGCCCTCTTCTGGCCAGTCCTTGGAGCCCAGATCTGAATATGTCTGGTGCTGCCCAGCCGACGAGTTCAGTGCCGTAGGGCCGTTAAACATGCCTCGAACAAGACAAAGGTCTCAGACTCTTGTCGGCGGCTGCCTCTTCGGAATTGCTTCCGGGCTGCAAGCTGCTTGCAGACATGTTAGACAGGCTTGAAGCGGGTGCCAAGGAGCGATCAACATGTACAGAACGTGGTGGGCCCAGCAACGAGGATGTTCACCAGACTATTGTGACTTTTTTGGCACACCATAAACTTAGACCAACTAATTAGAAAGCTGGGCTGCAAGACCAAGCGGTTTGTTGGCTTCTTGGCTTCCAGCCCCTGTGGCTTTCTGACTCCTTGGCTGCTTGTGTTCTTGCTTAGAGGTTTCCTAGCTGCTGAAGGCGTTCATTGCTTGTGTAGTTTGTTGGCTTCCCGGCTCCGTGGCCCCCTGGCACTCACATAGCCTTCTGGCTTCTGTGGCGTCGTTGCTGTTCTGGTCTCGCTCTCTCGCTCTCTGTTCGGTTTGGGTCATGAGTCGTCATATCACAAGGCTTGAGATCAACTGCTGTCATGTGGGCCATTTTTATTCAAGCATTTTTGTTGATCTTTGCCAAGTGATACATGCAAAAGAAAGCGTTGTACGTCGACAGGTCTATCTTTTGAGGAATCGGGGCAATGCTTTGCTTTTTGCATGCAGCAACGACAAAACAATTTATTGAGTATGTTTGTGTCAACAGAATACAGAGCCCCGCGATGCTTGTAACCCAAAAAGCGGCCGGAGAATAATATCTGCTGGTGGCGGTGCAACCAGGAGGCGAGCTTTTACAGAATTTCAGCACGTACGACGGCTCTCTGGCTCTTTCGCTCTCTCACTCTCTCGCTCTTTCTGTTACAGGACACGAGCCTAATGTACCCCCAAATGTTTATGAGGCATTTATGAAGGCTATGATGCCGAATGGCATTGACTCAAGACTGGACAAGGACCGGCTTGGTCGCACAAAGGAATGTGTCCTGGGATGTGCGACTGGAGTCAAGAGTGGATCGGTTCGGTTGATGATTGGTCTGGTGACTGGTCTTGGTCTGACGACGACTGGACTTATTGGTCCGATGACTGGCCCTGGAACACACAAGATGCTGCGTCCGGATCCGAGGGTAATGTCCCTCAGGAGCCGAACTGTGCAGGTTTGTGTTTGAGATTGGCAGAACTTTTGGGTGCTAAAGATAAAGAGAATTTTCTGAAGTCGAATGCCAAGGATGTGCGCAAGACTGGCGGGGGATTGGCCATGCGCGCACCACCTTTTGGACATTCCCAGGGCTGAGGAAGTGTTGGGAATGCCCAGGGAACCCTTTATGGGCAACTGAGAACATTGATGGCTCAGGTTGAGGATTCGACTAGATTGAGGTTGACCTCTGAGTCGCCAATGTACGCTGGGCTTTGAAGCATGCACAATGACTGATCAGTCGCTACCCGATTGAATCTGATAACAAGACTGCCTACAACCGAAGGTGGTTGCATGACTACGGTGGATCAGTGTGCATGTTTTTTGTGAATGGGTTGATGCGAAGTTGCCGTGCAGCAACAAAATGAAGTATTAAATGAATATCCCGCAAAGGAGGATCTCAATGGCTCTCTAGAGTCCTTGGAAAGAACGCTGAAGCCGATGAGGTCAAGGAATGCAAATGGTGTCTTCAAGGTGCGAATTGTGAAGCGGAGACCTCCTTCTCAACAATGGAATGACACCGGCGACATCCAAATTGCATCCGTGCCGTGGCAAGTTATAGGAGGGGCAGTGGCTTCGACTGCCTTTGTAATGCCACCTCATGATAGAAATAGCAACTTTCAGACCACGATGGATGTCATGGCTCAGCATGGTCTTCAGCCCGTTCCACCCTGTGATGAACAACTGAATGCACCCACCCATTTTCCGCGAGATGTGGAGCGAAACTGGAGGCAAATCGACATGGTGTTTGTGCGCATGATCCCCTGTCAACGTCTTACCATTGACGCGGAGAGACAACGAAGTATTGGAACGGACCATGCACTTCTCTGCTCAGTTTTGACGGTTGTCAAGCGATCTTAACACAAATGGTGTGTCGACACACGCCCTCGCTGGACGGTGACGGAGCTACCAGATGACTCTTTGGTTGATTGGGATGACGTTGTGAACCATGTGAACCTGGCCAATGATCGGATCATCTTGGAGTGAAAGGCAGAGTGAAGCCACCTCCTGGATTGGAACGTGTCGATGAAGAAGATAAGCCTGATGAGAATGACGCACTTGAAGACATGGTCTTTGGTCCGAGTGAGAGCGTGACTGCGCAAGAGTTGCTTGAGAACGATGTCACGGATCGTGCGCCCACTGCGATTGCGCGCGAGACTCCGGAGGTGAGTGACGAAGCACCCCGGAAGAGTGCCAGGATTGATCCTGATGCTGCAAGTGAGCCTTCAAGCAAGCAAATGAGGATTTCTTCAGTTCATCACTGGATTGCAGGAGTGATTCCCGCTTGCAAATGAGTTGACGACGTCGTTGGAAAGGATGGTACGAGGATTGATGTCGAAGTGAATGCGGAGCAAGGAGAACTGGACCAGGCCATGCGGCTCGCAGAGCCACTGCTATGGGAAAGTGAATTCCCTCCCGCGGCAGCGAAGAAAGGAATGATGTAGGAGATGAATTCAATGAGAAACTTCGAAGTGTATGATGAGGTGAAGGTTGAGGACTGCACCCAGGAGCAGTTTTGCTGAAAGAGGCTGGCCAACTAGTGACAAGTGCCGGGGACTGAGAACACTGTCCTTGGAAAAAGCTACGACACAATGGAGACTCGACTGATGTGTGCATGAGCAAAAATACATAGATTCGGTCCTTGATCTGTATGGCATGAAGAGTGGCAAGCCTGTTGCGACGACTGGTGCCGTGACGATTGTCAAGACTGTGCCTGACACACCACTGAGTGCACTTTGTGTATAGGATTGCGGTTGGCAAACTGTGGTTGGCGCTGATCAGAGGTGAGGTTGCCTATGCCGCAAAGGAGCTGAGTCGGGATGTGTTCTAAGGTGAAGCACCTGTTGTGGTATCTGACTGGAACTAGAATGTTTGTCTTAAGATTGCGTCCATCTTATCAGTTGCCCGATGGCAACTGTGCTTTGGATGTGAATGTCTTTGTGGACTCCGACTGGGCTGGTTGCTCCAAGACTCTTAAGAGCGCCAGCGGATCCACTGTGAATGTCCTTGGGTGCAACATGGCGAGCACTGCGAGGACTCAAGGCACACAGGCCTTGAAGTCTGGCTAACCGGGGTTGTATGCGATTGGTCCAGGAGTGGCACTGTTCCTGGGGTCAATGTTGCTCGAAGCTAAGCTGGCGTAGAAAGTCAGTGTAGTTGCCCACACAGACTTGACTGCCGGCAAGTCAATGGCAACCTGCTTTGGCACTGGCACGAAAACAAAGCATGTGGAACTGAGGTTCCTGTATGTGCAGAATCTTGTGCAAATGGGTTTGCTCAGAATGGCCAGGATTGAAGGCACGCGGAGCCCACCGACTCAATGATCAAATATGTTACCACTGATGTGCTGCAAAGCCTGAGGACTCGCTTGGGAGTGGTTTCGCTTGGTGATCATGTTGCCGCCGCCCGCCCGACCATCACACTGGGAAAGGCCTCGCGCACGCCTCGTTCCCACCCTTTTGCACGTGAATGCATGCACTGGCGTGTTGCATCTCTGGACGCCGTTGGGCTGAAGTAAAGTCCACACCGAGGGACTGTGTGAGTGTACATGTCCATGCAGGTTGCTGTCTGTGCAGAGTGGAGTGAGGCTGCTTGTGATGACTGTCATGTGCGCTGTAGGTTTCCGCGAAAAGCCCAAGACCAAAGAAGGAGAGTGTGGGAGAATGAGAGTGAACATGTCTCCGATTGCCGAAACGTTTTCCGATCTAGTGTAGTGTGCTGATTCGGTACCAAAGGGATTGTTGGATGATGCCGATTTTTTTCCCGGACTCCGAATGGAGATCCTAAGTTTTCGCCCGATGTTTGCCGAAAGTCTGGCGAATGTTTGCCGAAAGTCTGGCGAACGTTTGCCGAAAGTCTGGCGAATGTTTGTCGGCAGTCTCGCGAATGTTTGCCGAACGTCTGGCGAACGTTTGCCGAAAGTCTGGCGAATGTTTGCCACGAGTCTGGCGAATTGCCGAAAGTTTCCCGAATGTTTTGTCGAATTTTCCCGACATGTAGTTCTCTGACAGAAAGTGAGAGAAGTGATCATGTATAGTGTCGCAATGTAAGCAAGGGACTCTTGGCCGGACCGTCGAAGAAATCCGGACTGATGGTGTGCATGCAGACCACGCTGGTCGCCATGCGCCTAATGGGTCAGATCCCGGAGGATCAGGATTCGCATCGATTGGCAATGGGTGAATCCTGTGTTCGCCCGACTGCGAATGTCGAGCCGCAGCCTGCGGAGAATGTCAATGCCAGCGGCCCTGCTCAGATTGATGCAGCATTGGCATCAGTGGCACGACCGTGCAGCAGCAAAAAGCCGTGGCCCACCGCCGGACCGATTGCGTCCAGGAGTGATGTTCCTCAGGAGGCGCCGCCTGATGAACAAGGCAATGGTGCCTCCTCTCTCTCGCTCTTTCTCCCTCTCCCCCTCTGTCTCCGTCCGTCCGTGTGTGTGTGTGTGCGTGTGTCAGCGGCGGCTTTTGTTTTGTCGTTCGTGGCCTACCATCTCCGGGCGGAGCTATTGTTGACGGGGCAGTCCGTTTGATTGGGAGAGAAAGATGTTCAGGTCTCAGTTCCTGGAACCTGGCGCCTCGTCTCTGCCGTCTGGGCGGAGAGTGGATTGATTTGGCTGGCAGGCGAGCTTTGCAGGATGCTTTAAATGCCAGTGGGGGGTGGCAATCTCCTACACAGGATGGGATGGCAGCAACATCATTGCCGCTAAGCTCTGGAGAGATACCTTGCGGCATAATCTTAGAGCCTTTACGTGATCGATAAGTTTCAGCTTGCAGCTAAGGGAAATCCCGAACGTCCTTGGCACCTTGAGCAAAGCTTCAAGGTTGGGACAGCAATTGACAGCCGGCTTTGAAACGGTTGGCTGCAAGATCCTGGAAGCATTCCGATTGCTCAAATTGCTGATCAGGTGAGGCCTGGTGCAGGCGGGGCTTTTGGATCGTTCGAAGTTACAATGGTATCGTCAGCAAAGCCCTTGCAAGGCCTTTGCCATGCAGGCAAAGACACGTGCAGCAGACACGTGGCTGGCAGTTACATCGATGTACAGGCGCTGCAGCTAAGTGCGGAAGGCGCCCTGGGACCCTCGGGCACTGGGGAATGGAAAGGTTTGTTTAAGAACTAACTGACATAACTGGCATTCCCTGCCTGAAGCTCTGAGCACATATTGGGTTGACGGTTGAGTGTGCGACAGGCAAACGCCTCGTCGTCCTTCACGGTGACCTGGCTGCACATGGGCCGCAACCTGAAAACTATTCTGATACTTGTCCGTCCTTAGGATGAGATGTTCGAAGCTTCCAAACTTCTATCATCGAAATACTGTGCCTAGTGACCTAGTGTCCCTCGAAAAACATCCGTGACCGAAAAGTGCTCCGAATCCTCACAGGAGGTGTCCTTGTAACGGCACGGCAGCCATTTGTACAGCGCAACGCGACACAAACACTTGCCGTGACATTCGGCTGCATCAACTGGAGGAGGTCAGAAGAATCATGTTGAGTAGTCGATGAAGGTGGACGCTTCCTGGATTCATGGGACTTGGAGATCGGTGCCTTCAAGGGGCAACTGCAACTAGAGCAAGCTTACCAGTCATGGCCTCAGAATCCTCAATCTGTCCAATTCATCGAAGCGGCTTGCGCGGTCACCTTTCCTGCACTACTGGTACTATATCGTATATAAGCAGACAGAGAGACAGACAGCCAACCAACAGGCGTCCCCCGCGGGGGTGTGCCCTGAAGCCTGGTGAAAGAAAAGCAGCTAGGCAGGCAGACAGGCAGACCCCAAACAAACAAACCAACAATCCGCCCGCCCCGCCCGCCCGCCCGTGCACCCGCCGTCCGCCCACCCAACATATTTGTAGATGTATCTGTTTGCATTGTTCGTGCCATTAACTTCGCCTTCCCTCAAACTCCACAGTGGTGCCAGGGCCATGTGCCACAACGATGCTTCTCTGCATCTTGTCCGGCACAGTCCGGCCGGACCGATCCTGGAAGAACTTCCTTGGGCCCGGGCCCGGATCTCAGTGTTGGACATCCGTGGGCCGTGATACGTCTCAGGCACGACGGAAACAGTTGCCATTTCGCTCCAGAGACAGTGTTTACAGTTTACAGTTTATTCACGGGTTGCATAAGTAACACCATCCAGTCGCAACTTGTGTTGTGCTTAAGCTGCATCAACTGTAGTCTTCGTGTCGTCCGAGCCACGCCATGACTCCAGAAGAGTGGGAGTTGACGCGCTGGTGGCGAGAAGGTGCAGACGGGGCAACTTTCGAAAGGTAGGTGGGTTTCGCTTTGCACGGACAGAACAGAACGCCTGCTTCTTTCGGTCAGCTCGTAGTGGGAGTCGTGCAAGTGGCATTTGCAGTGAGAGAAGTACAGCTGAAGGTCCTGGGCCACTTGATGCAGAACCAGATGCCTTCGAGCTTGGCACGCCTAGAGGCGAGCGAAGCAGTGGCTTCGTTGCTTTGAATGCAGGTTGCCCCGTACTGCAAGAAGCAAGGTCATGTTGAATTCAAGTCTGAGGCTATTGAGGACGAGTTCGAGAGCTGGACCGACCGCCCCAAGAGAGCAACAAAGTCGCCGGGTTCTGCATCGAATTGTGTGGCAGGCCTTTGGGTTAAGTTGTTGACATACGAGCTGCTTGCGTGTCGTTTTGGCTGCTCAGACCGCTTGTAAGAAGTGCGCTGTCGTGTATTCGTGAAAGCCCCACTGCAGTATGCCATATCGAGTATTCCTTCCTGAAACAGTCCGGCTTGTCAAGGGATGTCTTCTGATCGTCAAAGCCTGGAGGTACCAGCTACGATCTGTCTCCAAGGAACGGCGAGTCGCCCGCGCAGAAAGCTGAAGCGTTTCAGCTAGAAGAGGAGGAGCGACTTAGCTCACAAGTAGGCCCAGCAGCTGCGGCTGACCCGTGCTTGACTGAACCCAGTCGTTGCCAAGGAACGCATACCTGTCCGCAGTTCAGCTGCTGAAGGAGATGGGTTCTGGCAGGGCAGAGGTGGCAAGTCGCAGATTTGCCAGAGCTCCGATTTGCAGCCTTTGACTCCGGACTCCGAGCTCGTTGCAGGCGGAGGTGGCGTGGAAAACATGTGTTCTCCGTATCTTGACTCCATTGAGAGAGACAAGAAGTGCAGCTTCGCGTGTATGTTTACAAGAAAAGCCATGCAGGAATATGCAGGATTCAGTGTATATTCGGTGTGACAGCTCAGCAGTTGCAGCCGGGCACAGTTTATTGGAAAGTGCGCTGGCTTCGAGTTCGATCCGAGCAGGGCCCTCGATGAGCCGATTAGCCCTTTACCGCGAATCCTAAAAGGCCCAAGTGGTCGTTGGGTTGTCAGTCAAGCACTAGATTGGACCTCGACGTCCTTGCCTGCCTTTGACGAGTGTGAGAGTCGAAAAGGCCCAAAAACTCGATCCCTGAATCCCAACCCTGTCAACGGATTGTCCGAACGGTAAGTTTCAAACCCTGAAGCCCAGCACTTTGTATAGGTAGCGTCCGAGTTCCCGTGTACAACTGGAGTGCGCTAGAGCGAGGCGAAAAACTGCGCCTTGCCAGATCTTTGGCAGCATTGCGCACGCCCCCGCCTCCGCGAAGAAGCTTCTCTCGTCAGGTGGAATGTTGATATATGAGCATAGAGCACGTGCTTCTTGCGACTCGTGTCGAGCGGCAGAGAGAAAGAGAGAGCTCCCTGTTGCAGACCTCCGGAGACACCAGCTTCGACGACATTGACGCAGGCCCAGTGGCATGCCACGGGGTTGCTTATCCAGTTCCATCGGGAGCACATTCCCGGCCATGTCGGCATTCTATGAACACGCACGTTATGACATCTTGATGACGACATGTTGCCGGCCGATCGGGGGAAAATGGGAGAACCATGGCGGCAATACTGACCAGCCCATCTTCGAGATCCAGTTCGTTTGCGGTCCAATCCTCCTCATTCGGTGCCTATACAGATGCAAAGAGCCTCCCAGACAGAGCCAAGCAGACCCACCCAGACACACCGACGAGCGGATGCACAGATGCCCAGAGAGAGATCGACGACAAGAAGCGAAGACACGGCAATCCGGACTGACGCAGAGAAGAAGAGACTATGTTGAACACACGCGTTTGTTTGTCGAACTGTCCAGGGCACGCCCCTGAAGATCGCGAGCTTTGCACAGACCTCAGTGTTTTGGGGAAGCAGAAGCTTGAGGACAGCCCCAAACCGCTCGAAAGTTGTAGTGGGGATCTGGGTCACAAGGGCTTAGGGAGCGCAGCAATGGTGGGTTCAAGAAGATCGCCGTCGGGCTTCGCCGAGCTGCACCCAAACGTTGATTTCTGAGCAGATGTTGACACTTGGGCGTGTGGCTGATTGTGGTTCATTGAAGCATCTCAAGCAAAGCTTCGAATCCTATACCGATTTGACAGCTTCTTTTGAATACATCATGATACTCTGCTTCTGCTTCAATCATCACCCCGGTATCTACCTTCTGCGGCCTGGCTCCAAAACAAAGGTCGCGAGCTTCCGCGGCATCCTTGAAGCTTGCCACAGACGTGCGCGAAATGTAGAGCCAGGTTGTTGTAACAGCCCCGAGACACTGACAAATAGAATCTCGGCACCTAGTCTTGCAGTCATGATGCCAGCCCTGTGAAGGTCCAGATGATTGGCCCGAGCAAAAGTTTCGTCCGCTGGCCGTCGACTTTTCATTCAATTTCGCAGCCTTAGAGATGGCTGAGCGGGAGTACGAGGCGTTGGCGGTTATTGACTCTATGCTGAAGGCGACAGCCTTTCTCGCATATCTCCCGCCACAGGTAGAGGTCCGAACGCTACTCCAGGAAGTCTTTGCTAATTGGCAAAGAGCAGTCCTGACGAAGTGAGGGCTTCCAGTCTGCACTTGGCTTTGGGCTGTTCGTGCTGCAACGAGACGTTTGCGTGACGGCCGCTAGGCACAGGCTTCAGAACGTGAACCTGCGACTGAGGCAGCAGCATGTGCATCCCCTGCGTGAGGCCTATGGAATAGTGGGTTTTCGATTTCCGATAGTTTGCTGCGACCGTCGGGACACTGGTTGCTCGTGCGTTGGGGACAAGCCGTTTGTGGCGCGAGAAGAATTTCATTTTGTCCTCTGTAAACTGTTACAAACCGCCGGGCCAGAGAAGCCGACGTTGGCGCGCGCACGCGCTCGACAGCCCCAAAAAGGCTATTTTCGTCTAGCTACAGCATGCGGGTGCAAAGGCGCCTGTTCATCGTTAGGTAGTTTTGGCGTTGCTGTGGCAGCAGGTGCTTGGCTTTTAATGTCAAAATCTAGGTCTGACATCTATACTACTGTACCCGAAGGAATGAACTGTTACATTGGGCCTCGAGACCGTTTAGTTCGTCCTCAAGTTTTAAGGCTGCTGCCAGCTGCAATAGAAGCATTCGGCGCCTATGCAGGGATCTTGACCCAGAACAAGTGGGTCCCCAATGGCCGCAACAGCAAGCACCAGCCTTGAAGTCAAGGTGCAAGGGGTGCCAACAAGACATGTAGCCATTGATCAAAAAGGCGAATTGCTGGAGGGGAGGGTGGGATCCGTTTGTGCAAGTAAGTTGCAAGCAAGAGATTTTTTGGGCACCCTAGGACTAGATTTTTGTTCCCAGCCTTTCGGTTTTTTCTCATCCGTGAGACCCTGTGCTGCAGTCGAGAATCTGCCTTTTCGCAGTCACACTATGTCTGAACTCGAGCCTGTAGTGTATTGGCTTTGCCGGTCCCCAAACCTTCGCTCATCTCCATGCTTGCGTGACTTTCTGTATGGTTGTTTCCAACAACTTCTTGCTGCTGCCGCTGCTTCTGCCGCTGCTGCTGCCTCGAATGCTTTGTTGCCCTGCGTGGAGCCATGGCTTCGGAGCCGGCACGTGCCCGTACCCTTGCCGGGTTGGTTATATGCTCTTCCGTTTTACCAGCATCTCTCTCTCTCTCTCTTTGTGTCTCTCTGTCTCTCTCCCGCTCTCCCTGTCTCTCTCTGTCTCTGTCTCTCTCTGTCTCTCTGTCTCTGTCTCTCGCTCTCCCTCTCGCTCTCTCAATCTCTTCTTCCTTTGCTCCGCAGTGCTTGTCTCTGAACTGTCGTGCAAGACTTTGTTCTGGTTCAACTGAAAGACACATCGTGGCAGTAACTAATGACACATTGTCGCGCATTCTCTTGTCTTTCGTGTCTTGTCCAACGAAGCATGTCACTTGATCTGTCTGCGATACTTTGTAGCCAGTTTCGTTACTCTGTGCAAGGCTTCCAGTTGCTTCAACTGAAGCAGCGCGTGAGCGATTCCTTTGCTGCTTGCATGTTCCCATTCGGGGCTGAACCCAAAGCGGTTTCCACCCAATCGCGAGGGAATGACCTTATGGGCCTGCCGCCAAAAGGCCTCGCTGGTTCGGCATTATACTATTGCGAAGCTTGCCCGATTGTGGAGACCTATGCTGCATTTGTTGTTTCTCGTGGACGTTTCAAGTGGGCATAACATGCACAACTCTGCTGTTGAGGCTGTCTCCGCAGGCTGCAGGCTACGGACTGGAGAAATATTGCGAGACAGAATACTTACGAGCTGTTACTGTATTGGCTCAAGAAACAACAACTCCGCAGAATGAGATGTTTGACAAGATTCCGAAGCTGCACGACTGGCTATCGATGCGACTTGAATTAGGTAGCATGACACGGGCACGCCATGAGCGCCATCGGCGAGACAAAGAGGCGCAGCACCGGCTTGGTGTCAAGATTCAAGATGGGAAGGAAGGACGGAAGGAAGGAGCAGAAGAAAGTGACGAATGTCAAGAAACATATCTGGTAAGGATCATCTTTGACACGCCAGTCGCTTTTATCTTCAACGCTGACTTGTTGTGTGATGGTTGGGCTTGCATTGTTGGTCGAGAATGGGACCCGCTGTTGCGGAACAGTGCATGCAAAGAGACGATGCGCCCATCAGGGACAGGCGCACCCCAGCAGGAGAGCGAAGCACAAGTCAGAACGAACAACTTGCGAGTCGGAGTGAGAATAAGCAGCATGCTATTGACTGGGAGTGTTTTTGGTATTGCATTCTGAAAGATGAAAGTTGGAACCAAGCGACAGGTTGCCACGATGCGATCCATCCTGTCGGAAAGTCGCAGCCACCACTTGCCAGGCTCAGAAACGGTGGCTCTCCGAAAAGCGTCGTGCATGCCCCAATTTGTGACATTGTGCGCATTGACGAGAATTCGTATTGGCTTGCTATTAAGGTGGTCTGCAGGATGATGCCCAGCAGGTTCGTGGTCTATGCATGCTGTGTCTTCTTAGGACAGGTCACTGTCGGTTGCAGGGCACGGCGGCGGAAGATTTCCGAAGTTTGCGCCTTATGTGCCTCGCCTCCTCATTTGTGTTTCCATCGAACCTACTTGGGTCCAGGCTATTACAACGCTCAGTTCCTTCACGATCGTGTGCTTGCGACAGAGCAGGCCCCAGCATGCAACGCATGTACACATTCATGTAACGCAATGCAGCCTTCACTTGCTCGAGGCGGAATTTTGGTCATCCATGGAGTCGGCTTTGCCGGTTACCGTTCGAGCCGCATGCATACAAGCAATGCATGAAGTGCTGCACGTACGATGGGAGGGTAAAGACAGACAGTCTTGGATCTTTCTGAAATATATATGAGTGTTGCATGATTAACATGGCAAGTGCGATAGAATGGTCCGCTCACACTGGGGCCTGAAAGCACAAGTCCCCCAGGGCTGTGAGCTTCAGAAAAGAACCAGGTCGCTTCTCGGCTTCCAGCTCTCAGCACAGCCATAGTTCGGCCGTGAAAGACCTGTTGTTTCAAGGTCAGTTCGAGTCCAGCTAGCTCGCATACAGAGGCCTTGGCATTTTCCAGCATCCACATGCGCAGACACCTTGTATGTCCGGCGTGTTTATATGGACTTTCACGCAAAAGGCTCGCTTGGCTTCCTTCGGCTGGCACAGGCGAGTCGAGCGCATGGCCAAGATGGAATCGCGGTCAAGTCCCATGTCCTGCTGGTGCCAACCAAGGTTTGACCGAACCGGCGACTTGGCTTTGCACCGTTTGGGGAGGCAAGGGCACCCTTACAAATGTGACACGAGGTCTCTCGGTTTGGGAAGTCAGCTCTGAGGTGCAACTTGGCCCCAAGAATTTTGCCAGTAGCACGCATTTCTTCGCAGACCTTCTAGTCTTGCACAACGAGGTACTCTCAAGACGGCAGGCACTATGCCATGCTTTGCCGAAAAGAGACAAGTTGTGTTTGCTTCGGATTCTCCATGGCTGAAGGCTTCGAGCTTGGACTGAACGTGAAAACCGTTTGGGGAGCTTGTGCTTTCAGGCCCCATCGTGAGTGCATGATGTCTCGCATCACTTGCTGTGATGTCCCTTCTGCGGCTGGCTTCCTGCAGGAGTTGGTTTCGCTGATACCTCCGATATTGCTTGATCCGCAGCCCAAAGAGGCAGTTTGATCGCAGTAGCGGAGTTGTGCATGGAAGTTCGAGACCACAGGTTTGCCTTGATCTTTGTGCTGCTCCCGGGAGCCTCGGACGCTTTACGTGCTACTCCTGTAATGCTTTAATATGCTCCATACTCTCAATCAAGCCGCCGGTGTAGCCTAGGGGCCAGCACCAATGCATGTTTGCTAGATCGACAGTTCTTTTCAAGACAGCTCAGCCAGCCAGCGGTCGTTCATCTTTATCAGGGATCTCTGCTACGTCTCCTATACTGTCCCCACCCTTAATGCGCAGGCTTGATGGCCCCATAGTGTTCAGCGATTTGTTGCTGCAAGCGGAGTGGCATTCAGGAACAAGTCCCTGCAATTGTTGGAGTCTTTGGCATCCAAAGCTGATGTCGAAGGCGCTGTGCTGCGATGACCTCAGGAAACCGACCTTGCAGCAAGGTTCCAAGCACATGCAGAGACGGCTCTCGAGGTCCGCGGACAATGACCCACAAAGGTCGCCCCCTTATGTGGTCGGGTGTGAAATGAGCTGAGAAGCATATCGATATCGCGCTTATCTGTGTACTAGGTGTTGCCTCACACTTCATCGTGTGTTGGGAAAAGCTGCTTCGCCCGCTTCTTGCGCAGCGTTGGCGAATGCCGGGCATTTTCCAGTGCTTCTGGATCGTTGACCTGAGTTTGCTTCCAGTCCACGTTGCTTCCTGTGCATGCTGGTGGAAGCACGTACTCGCAGGATCAAGTGGACACCGACTTGGTTGACCCTGCTTCCGGTCGGCTCGATTTTGACCGTGCATCGCGGTTGCATGTTTAGATGTGATGCGTGCTGTTGGAGAAGCCAAGGTTCAGTGCCGTGGCTAAACAAACAGCTTAATGCTTCTGAAGGCATTCTCGTCTTGGATTTGCTACGTACAAGCTGCTCGGTGATCGCAGCTAAGATTCTTGCAGATGTGCCATGCAGTGGCGATGGCACAGCCCGCAAGAACACACAGGTCTCTTGCCCAGAAGTGCATTCCTGAATTCGCCTGCCTAATCGACTTAGATGGTTCAGTTTGGGTCAGGTCTTTCGCGGATGGTCACGGCGTGAAGCGTTGGAGTTGTCATCGCTGCAGCGACGCATTTTGCTTCGGGGCTTGTACTTGTTGCCACCGAAAGGCCGGCCAAGTCAAGAAGGGAACTCGACAGGGCAGCGACTGCGCCGAGTCAGCTGCAAAACCGATCATGCGAGGCACACTTGTGTACTCTACGTGCTCCCTGAATCCTCTGGAGAATGAGGCCTCCACAGCCGCCAAATACGGTCTCGCCAGAGTAATTGTGGCCTGGCTTCTGCACGGCAGGCTGTGGTTTTGAGCTGTTTGCGACGCTGGAACGCCAACCTACATTCCAAAGGCCAGTGCTGACGGGTTGGGCAAAGTACCAAGTGCAAGAACGATTGAAGCAGAGCCGGTGAGACATCATCTGCTGCTGTGATGTTCGACAGACAGTTGAAAGTTTCAATTTGCGCTTTCCAGGGAATGCCAAGCTGCCTGTGTGGCTGCTCGATGCCAAGGCGGCTGGGTTGAGTGCTGAAGACTGTTGCCAGGCACTGCTACAACCCATTGCGATGGCAGGTGATGGTCAAGGAAAAATGTGGTTTGCGACCTGCCTCATGGCCGCCCTGTGTGTTTTGTTGTGCAGCTTGAGAGAGTTTCCAGGCAGGATGTAAACGACTTTGGTTTTGCTGCTCCGATCGAAGAGCCAGCCAGCTCATGGCATGCTAGCGCATCCTGTTGTGTAACTGTCTGTGTTTATTCCTTCTGTATTTTCCGATAAGTGCTGATTCTTTGGTGTAGCTTTCTTTTGTCGCAGTCTTTTAATGACTTTCTTGTTTGCTGTCACTAGCTATCGTTTGCGACCGTTTCTTTCACGTCGTGTTTTGCAAGTGTGTATTGCGTCTGCTACAAGTTCATCTTGTACCCCATTCCTCCCCGCCGTTCGTGCCCTGGAGTACATGTAGCTGCATTTTGCCTACACTGATACATGCTTGGAAATACGATGCCCAGTCAGGCCTTGTTCTGGCTACGTCTTAAGATGCACCATTATTTTCGACTGCGTGCTCTCGTGTGCTTCCGGTTACTTGTAGTTACTTTAGTTGCCATAACTTCTGCAGGCTAAGTTTCTCTCTCGCCCTCGCTCGATCGCCTATCAAATACCATCCATTAATGATCGCGATGTCTTGCGGGTACTTACTCCTTAGTGCTCACTACTGCATGTGGCATCTCGTTGTGGTAGGGGATCGTAGATATCAGCACTTGTCTAGGATAAAATCGTGGCAATGTAGTGCATTGCGTGGTGCATAGTAGCAAGGCACGGATGGCAGTTAGCAGAAAGCTGTACAGCAATGAGTAGCAGCAGTTGTTTTTTTTTCAGCATAAGCAGAACCGCGGCAACTATATGGTTTTTGCAGTGACAAAGCGGTTGGGATACTAGGTACACTAAGGTGAGCATGTGCAGCTGTCATGCTACTATGGACTCTGGCGAGCGGTATGTTTGTTCAACATGCTCAACCAAAAAGAGAAATGCGACGTAAGGCAGCAAAAGCACAGACACCACGGACTCTAAGTCCAGAGAGCGTTGGGTAAAACTTGTGCGTCACAGCGTCACAGCATTGGGGATCATGGACAGGCACTCTGTGATTTCAGTTCTTACTCTGAAGAGCTTGTCCGAATTCTGGAATCTCCTGCCTGACTCTTGACAGCTGTGCCTGAGTCTACTGGAATGGCCAACTGGATCGTGCCTGCCCCGCAGCGTGGCGGCCCGTGGTTTACTTCCTGGGAGGAGGCAAGCTAAACTTGAAGGCTCGCCTGAAACTTAAAACGAACCCGCAGGTGCCCGAAGAGCTTCGCAATGCCGAACGCCAGCCGCCCGTCAGGGTGACTTAGGATATCAACCAGCATTCGCACTTGCTTCCAGGTTTCGCTTTGCGGTCAGACATGTTCCCTTCGCCCGGTCAGCCCGGTGTGGAGGACAAAGCCCGGGTACCTTGCAAGTCTGCAGCTTCAGTTGTCTTGAGTGATGCTTCGAGCCGTGTACTCTGCAAGTTCCCCGCCGCAGACTAGCTCAAGCTAGAGTTGCAGCTAGCATCTGCTTCAAAACGAAGTGGCAACGTGCCAAGCAGCTATGGCAACGGAGGCTCCCGACCCAGAGAAGGTGCCTCTCCTGTCCGAGGAAACGAAAGTCGAGGCCATGTCATGTACAGTCGAGAACATTGACCAGCTGCATGCTATGTTTCTTTGTGTGCCAGCATAGAGTAACCAGGACCACCAGGACCACCAGGACCGCGACGACCAGGAACACGGCCCCCCACAAAACCATGACAGAGACCATCAGGAGTCCACCGACCACCAGGAAACCACCGACCGCTAGGAGACCACCAGGAGACCACCCAAAGAAGACCAGCAGGAGACCACGCACCACCAGGAAAATGTTTTCCTCCCCTTGTACCGGCGAGATTCCACAAGCATCTCGGCTCTACGCTTTGCTGCCCGCTAGTTCAGGGTGGCTGGGGCTCTGTGGTTTGTCTGTTTGTTTGGGGGTGCCTTCTTGGCCTGGCCTTGGTTAAGGGACCGCATGCCATGGCAAGTGCCATGGATGTGGAACTCGTTGCTCTGCATGGCTGCAACAAGGTCCCACGGCAATGGAGCATGCAAGAGGACGCATTGCATAGACATGTTTACTACACTTCTTTGGGAATGCTGCTACAGGTATGGAGGGCAAGACTTCAGCTGTCCCAGGGTTCCAGACAAAGCATGTATGATGCCTTTGCAATTGCATGGTGTCCAATGTCGGCCTACTGCATATGGCTTGCAGTTTGGCAACTACTGCCGGGACCTGAGCGGATTCAGCTATACGTGGAAGTGTCTTTGGTATATCCTGAGTTTGCGCTGGACATGCTGGGTTCTGTTTATGCATATAGCTGCAGGGGATCCTTGGTGTCAATGGACTGATTTTATGTATGTTTTGCAACGCTGGCTGCGAGGGGCCTACCGATTGCAGCTCCACAAGCCGACACGGCCAACCCTGCTCACGGTGACCCTGGCTCAACTTCTTGCTTCTTTTCAGTTCCGAGCTGTTTCGGGTAACTGGGCTGTCTCCATGTCTGCAGCTTTTCTGGCAATTCTGGAATTTACGGAACCTCGACGTGAGTAAGCCAGCAGCATGGATGGCAAGGAAGGTGCCGCGGAGGAGGAGGACAAGGAGGAGCCTCCGGCTGCGGAAGATGCCACATCCGCATATATGGCTGAGAGGCGACCCAGACCCAGCGTGGCGCCGCCGGAGCCGTACAACTACAGCCGAAGATATAACTGTAGAGTGTTCGGCCAACGAGGCAGGCCCACCTCCAACCCGGTCTTTCATCCTAAAGGTCCACCGCCTCCGCCTGGCGTTGAAATCAACCTGGACCCAGGTGGCCTTAGTGATATCAGCTATGAGGAGGCGGAGGGAGCATCTGCAGCGGGTAGTATGGATGAGGAGCAGGATGACTCGAACCCTACACCCGGAGCGGTGCCTACAGCTCCCACGGAAGTTCCTGCGACAGCCTGTGACATACCGGCCCACCTTTACATATCCCCTCCACCGTGGGCAGCTGAGGAAGCGGAGGAATCAGAACGTGGTTTTGAAGACGACCCGCCTATGGAGACGAACTCTGCAGCTGCAACCGACACAGGCGAAGACCACGGTATGGTGGAAGGAGCAGCCGGCGCTGCTGATGCTAGGCGCCTTGATCTCGAGCTGGACGACCCGGACTCTCGGCCGGAGCTTACTTCGGGTTCAGCAGAGGAAAGCTCGGAGGATAGCTTCCTCAACACCTTCGACTTCGGCTACACCCAAGGCACCAAAAACTGGGCCTCACTGGGTCACAGGCTCGGCTGCTGCAAAATCCGCGAGCGCCTTCTTGGGGATACTGTGCAACATTGCACTCTGGCACAACTGGCTGTTTGGTTCCTTTTGCCAGGTGGGCCAGGTTTTGACGGCCTGCGGTTTCCTTGGCAGCGTGCTCAGCTTGTGGTTTGGCTGCAGTCTACATGCTGGCTACAGTGGAATCATGCCATGGACTGGCTGGTATCAAGCTCCAGCCGAGCCTTCCCCCTCTTCCTGGTCTTGGCATCGCAGAATGGTACGAACTTTGATCTTGGATTGGCGTAAACCGTGCCCCAGGTTGCCATCCACCACACTCTCGAACAGGAGCCGCCTGGGTCCCAAATCCCAGGGTGTCGGACGCATGCGAACCAGCTTGAATTTCCTATGCCTTTTCTTGTTATTTTCTCTCATGTTACCAACAGTTACCGGCACAGATGCGAGGGTTGAGGCTGATTCCCACCCAGTCTCTGAAGTCCTTAGTGGCGAACATTTAGGCGGGAATACCGCGACACAATTTTCTACGATCACAGCAATTACATCTACAGGCAGGCAGAGAGTTCGCAAGCGTGCATATGCTAGGGCATTGCGTAGGGCTCAGCGAGCACCAAGCGGCACCACTATGTACAGAGGCCGCGTCCTGCATTCACAGGCTTCAGCGGCCACACACGCTCCTAACAGGAGATCGTCTACTTCAGCAGTGCGACCTCGCCCGGCCTTCCGGGTACGCCCCAGGCTTCGTGTACTCAGCTTGAATGTTGGGGGCATGGATGCAGTGACTTTTGATTGCTTCATGCAATGGCTGCCTGAAGCGCAGTACGATGTTATAGCGCTGCAGGAAATACACCATGGTTTGGGAAAGCAATCTTCGCAGTGGCATTCAGCAGGCTGGCACTTCGTTACCAGCGTAGACGGCCATACACGATTTCAGGGGCTAGCAACGTGGGTGAGACAGGACCTTGTGCAGGGGGCAGAGCTTCATCAACAGGAGCTGGCTGTGGGTCGATTGCTACATATACGGATCTCCCGAGATGAATACAACATAGATGTCCTCAACATTTACCAGCATGCCTATCAGCAGGACTCCTCCGGGAACAACCTCTCCAAACGTCATCAGCTGTGGGATAAACTCAACACGACCGTGCAGGGCTTGGCCAGACGTAGCATGCTTGTGCTGCTTGGTGATTTCAATTGTACGCCGAAACATGTGCAAGGCCATACCGGCTACGAGCTGTCGCAGGCTGAGTTGTATGCTGATGCAGCTGAATTCTCCACGGTCCTGGAAGCCAACCAGCTGGTAGTGCTCAATACCTGGTCTAGACGAAGATCACTGGATACTTTTGCTGGCGCCAAGCACAAATCTATCATTGACTTTGTCATTACCAGGCGTGGACATGCAGACCTACCTGCCCGCAGGTCACTGCCTATGCCGGGACTTACTTTTAGCCCGTGGAGAATGGGAGGCAAGCATTTCCCTGTGCAGGCCACCTTGCCCTTACACCCTGGCTGGCATCGAGCTTCGAGCAGGGCCCCCACTACAACCAGGCCTTCCTATGACTCTTTGGCACTCACTGAGGCTGTCCGTGGCAAGACCTCCTTATATCAGGCTCTTCGGGTTGACTTCGAGCAGAGACTCCTGCAACTTCAGGCTCCCACACTGCAACAGGTCAATGATTTGCTGCTTTCTGCCGTGTGCAAGGTTTTTCCTACGAAAGCGGATCGACCCTTGCCGCGTGCGTGGCAGACGGAGGAGGTTCGACTCTCAGTGGCGGATATGTGGAGAGCCCGCAAACGTCTACGGAGCAGGTCCTCACTCCAAGGCTTCCGGGCTTGTTTTCAGGCCTGGCTTCGGCACCGAGATTTTCAGAAAGCGTACAAGGAGCTGAAGCGACGCGGCAGGCTGGCGCGCAAAGCTATACTGGAACAACACTTGGCGCAGGCACGAGAAGCAGTTTCTCGTGGAGACCATGGCATGTTGCACAGGACAATCCGTGCCCTTGCTCCTAAGACTCAACGATCACAGGTCCGCATACATGGCAAGAAGGGGGAAATGCTCACCTATCAGCAGGAACACCAGGCCATGATTGATTACTTCCAAGATCTGTTCCAGTCCCAGGCTGACGCCTTGCGTGCCCCAGCATGCAGCAGCGCTTCCAACTACCAGGTTACGGCTGCAGACTTTGAGAAGGCGATCTGCTCGTTGAAGATGGGCAAGGCTGTGCCCCCCGGCAGTGCTCCCACCAGCGCAGTTCGTGCCTGCTCGGACATTGTTTCAGGCTAGCTGCCGATCAGGCCACAGCCTGTCTGAGTGGCTCCTGCACTCCCAATCTCTGGGCAGACTGTACATTAGCCCTCATTCCTAAGCCACATAAGACGGCCAAACGGCCTGAAAACCTAAGGCCCCTTGGACTTCAGGACTGTGGAGCTAAGGCTTACGCCAAGATCTTAAAGGAAATACTGCTACAGGAGGTAGGTGACACTCTCAAAGCCTACCCTCTTCATGCTTATCTGCCCGGCCGTAGCACAGAAACGGCAATTGCCAGAGTCATTGATCATTGTCGGCAAGCCCGCAACCTTCATCGAGGACAAACGGCTAATGTGCACACCCGTCGTGCCCAAATTAAGCAGAAGCAGGCAGTTGGCGGGATACAACTGGCCATTGATCTTTCTACAGCCTTCGACATGGTACCCAGAGACCAGCTGTGTTGTGCTCTACAGTGGGCAGGTGCAAGTGAGGCTCTGATAAATGCTGATAAATGCCATACTGGACCTACACCAGGTATGCAGGTACAGTATTCGGCACAGAGGCAGGGTTCAACATATCTGTATGCGGCGAGGAGTTCGGCAAGGTTGTACCCTGGCCCCACTTTTGTGGGTCGTATATTCTGCATATATAACACATCACATTGGCAAAGAGCTTACCTTGCCTTGGGTTCAAAGCCATCTCACCCTTTATGCAGACGACACACATGCCAGCTGGATTGTTGACACTGTTGATTCATTACAACAGGCCCTACATGCCATACCGGTCATCTTTCGTGTTTACCAAGCCTTTGGCATGCTTGTCAATCCTCAGAAATCAGGAGTGGTGCTTGGCATTCGGGGTGCTTTTGGGGTAGGACTTCTGGCTCCGCACATACATGGCACGGCCAGTAGTAGACGATTAGTTCTGGGCCCTCCCCATCAGCAGTTAGTCATCCCCATCAAAGATAGCATGACTTATCTGGGAGTGCAGATCTCCTATGGCAATTTTGAGGATGCCACCGTGAATGCCAGACTGGCTGTTGCTCAGAGCACCCGTGGGCGATTGATCAGGGTGCTGCATGCCCGCAGGTACCTTACACTACGCAAATGCATACAACTATATGTGCTGTGTGTGCGTACAGCTGCCCTGTATGGTCTTTTACCTGTTGGGGTCACGGCGGCTGGGCTTCGTAAACTACATGCATTTGAAGTCAAACATGTGCGAGCGATAGCACGCAGCCCTGTGCATCTTACGCGGGAAACCACTGTACAATTGTATCATCGACTAAAGTTGCAACAGCCGGGCGACTACCTGGCCAAGCTCATGGCTGGGAGAATACGCGCTCTTGCTAGACGAGCTGATTCTGTAACAGCATCGTTTCGGATTAAATCCGAGGAGCTGCGGTTGAGCCAATTAGCAATGCAACATGGTCTTCAGGAAGCCACCGGTTTGCGTGAGGTTGCCTGTCCTACGTGTGGACAGTACTTCGCGACCCTGGCAGGGATGCGTACACATCATACCCGTATGCACGGTCGCCGCCTGCAGGCCAACACGAAGGTTCCGCCAGTAGGCTGCATGGGCTACGCGTTCAGGACCATTGTGTCAATCAAATGCCCATCTGCAAACACTGTGGTTGTACCCTTACAACGTGGCACCAGTTTCGCATTCATATAGTTTCTAGTTGTGTTGTATTACACTCTGCAAGTAAGACAGAGAAGCCTGCTTTGCAGTCCGCTGCGGGGCTTCAGTCTACGGAGCTTGCTTTGCAGTCCGCTGTGGAGCTCCGAACAGAGACTAAGGATGATTCGGAATGTGCCCCGTTCGAGCAAAACTCAGTGCAGCAGCTGATTGCCACGGCCGAGTGGAAAAACATTTTGCAGCTGCCTAGCATGAGCACCACTTTGCAGCATCATTGTGTTCTATGCAATCAGTGGGTCGCCAAAGCTCCCAGTCCCATGGTTCTTCATGTCAAAGCCGTGCATCCAGATCTCATGCTACACTGGGACACTGCTATGGCTCACAGTTTGACTTTACGAGAGGGGCACGCCAGGCCCTGTAAAGCTTGTGGAGCCGCGCCGCGTGGGAGACACAGATGTCGTGTGCTACATCAGCTTTGTCTCATGCTGCATCACTGGCGTGCACTGAGGCTCGCGACGCCCGCTGAAACTCAGCATGGAGCACCTGGCGGTGGTGGAGACTCCTTCCACGCAGGTGGATCAGGAGGTGGGCGACATCCTGGGAGCTGCAGTGGATACTCTCTTTCCAGGGACGCGGGATGCGGAGATGCCACAGGCCTCAGCACTGGGCAAGCGAAACGACCCGGGCATGGCTGCGGGCCCTCTCAAGTTTCCCAAGCCGGCGGGCAAGGGACAAGGGCAAGGCCAACACAACCCCGCGGGGAGCCAGGAGGCTGGTCAAGATGCAGGGCAGAGCTCGGAGCAGGGCTCGGATCCACGGCAGTGGACCCGGGAAAGGACTCGTCAACGACAGGACGAGATGTGGCGACAGTGGGAGTCGGATACGGCATGGTACCAGAACGAGGAGCTGAAGAAACTTCGAAGGGAGATGGGATATCTCCAGGA